TACACTTCTTCATCTGGACAATCATTTAGAGTATGTGTAAAAGTAAGAAGCATGTATACAGAAATAGAACAAAATGTCAATCATAAAACAAAACCATTATTGTCTGTCACTAATTACCATGCTGTTAACGCAACATAGAGTGAAAAATATATTTTAGAAAAACTTTGTTTCGATAGACCTCTATTAAATCTTACTCATAATTGACCACAACTTTGAGAGAGACTTCATTTCTAAACAGTTTACATTAGTAGACAATCAAGTCTGATAATTCAAATTCATATCGATTAGTATCATTTAGATGATTTCTTCGTTGTGTGATGTAAGTGTTGGAAAGATCATAATGAGACATGCAATGGGGGCATCATTTTGAATGTACATTCATGTTCAGTATCAACATCACATTTACTTCAAATGTTTTGAACAGAAAATATACAAAAACAGGAATTTTGCCCACCTGGAATGGAAGCACCGCATCAGTGAAGCTCCAAATCCCCTGGAGGTGTCTCAGGTACTCATCAGATTCCTTTTAGTCAGGTCTTTATCGGTAGCCTTACAACCTGGATATATAAAAAGTGTATCAAAACATTATTTCTAAAAAAATATAAATGGAAACACATCTTTCTTGTGTACGAGTATGAGAAAAAACATCTACAAATAATTTGATTTGAATTTACTAGGAAATAAATATAGTCAGTTTCATCATTCTGCACGCATATGGCAAGTGCAGTTGCAATGGTATAAAAATGTACCCTATCAACAGTCATGTACCATCAGGAACATAACAAAATTATTTTCTTTTTAGTGTATTTTGAAGTTTAATTTTATCCCTTGGTATATTGATGTATTAAGTGAGAAGTTGAGTAACAGTAAATAATAATAGAAAATTTCTACCTATCTATAATCTGAATAATTGTCTCGAGATATTATAGATTTTTGTAAATTAAATATCTGGCAAAAAAACTCAATTGGGTATTGATCTGTAAAAAAATGTTGTTTTTTTAATTTTAAATTTCGCTACATGTTCCAATAAAAATGTTTTTTACTGTTTTTCTGGCGTAATATTCATCACGTCGACTAGTATAGCAATAAGACGGCCCGAGTAATGTAAAATACCTCGGACAAACATAACGAGGCCCACTGTGTCCAGCGAGCAGCAATTTCTCGAAGCTGTGGGCAGGAAACTTCAGAGAATAATGGGGAAAGAGGAGCAAGAAAGTCTGAGGAACGAAGAAGAGGAGGAAAGAGAGAACGAGGGAAGGATAATGGTTCCGTAAACGTAGTCGTCATTTCTCGCTTCCTCCGCTTGACCGCTGCGTGTTTCAAGACGCAAGGCCCGCTTCTGAAAACGTTGACTGTTGCCCATGACTCCAGAACTCCCAACATTTCGCGTCAGTGTCGATGTCTCCTCCACCGGCCTCTTTGGTGTCGACACTGGCAGGGATGGTGCAAGAGAAAGGATTGGCTGTCTCTTATATAATTCTTTGGAACCTTCCTAACAATGTTTCACTGTGGCAAGGCAGACGTTGAGAGACATAGACGTACTCGTAGAGAACATGTTTGTGTATGAAAATTGTTATATTTTCTGATAAAATATTATTTACAAGTTCATTTTCTTCAAAGCTTCTTTTAAATATTTGTTGACAAGTAATTCTAGTTCCGACTTGTAAGTATTAATTTTCATGAAAGAGCTTGAAACTAGTTTAGACTAGATAATCGTTTCCACTGATTTCGAATGGCGACGGCAGCCTATTTGAAAGTGATGGTCAACTTTCGTTCAGTTTCACTTTACAATTAAAACAATTTATCATGTGATAAACCTAACCCATAAAAACGATTTAAAAAATTTGCTATTTATATTCCACGCGTATTTTCAATATCGAAATAAAAGAGATAAGGATACCGAAAGCGACCCACCTGTTCTTTGACACTGGGAATTCGATGACCAACGCAGCACCGAATTCTTTCGCCTGCAGTAATCCACTCCCTCTACGTAATCCAATGGTCACGAGTAAAGTTCTTACGTCAACCAATGGCATCTATGGATGAGGGGGAATCGACTTTAGAACGTGCTCGCACCAGCCAAGCCGTTTTAGAAGTTAGGAACTCGTTTCCTCGGAAACCTCTTTATTATTTTGCAAGAAGTCTTTCATGACAGTGGAAGAAAAACAATTGCAATTAACAATGAATTAGAACCAATTGTATTCGCCTTAACCATCTTAACAATTTCAGGATTATGTTTCAAATTCCTTTTTCAATAATTTCGTAGTACATTGTATGTATCAACAACAAAAGTCTGAAGAAAAAAACTTAAATTGTGACAACGGGCTAGTTTGGAGCATTACAATGTAAATATCTCGTATTGTTTCAAATATAAATTTCCATTCATATTGCATTAATAATTTAAGGGGTACCGGTAAGTACTAAGTGTAACAGACATATTGTAAAAAACATTTTTCGTATCTAAAAGAGGCAAGTCACAAAAAAGCATTAAGAAATGAACGGTGTGCCATTGACTGATGTCAAGGTAACAAAATTTTCAGGTCTCTCAATTCAGTCAAACCTCAAATGGAACGTTCATTTAAATTAATTGAACATATAATTAAGTTAATTATGCTAAGCGCTCAGAATTCTTTCAAATTCAGTCAGCCTTCATACGGTTTGTTTTGGGTATATTTCGCGAGTGTTCATTTCCGCCTTAGATACGGCATAATATTCTAGGAAAATACATCTTATAGCTCCCAGACTTTTAGATTACAAAACAGAATTGTACGAATAATACTCAAATCCCACCTAAGTGATTCTTGTGAGCCTCTATTAATCTAGGAATTTTTAACTTGATTTAGGAATCAGTGTTTTTTTGTCAAAAATCACCTTTTTACGGGCGTTTATTTTCAGCAAACGCTGATGTGTGTAATTATATTTGTCAAATGAGTAGAAATCGTGGTCGAGTTAATATCTGAAGAGACTCTAAGTATGACCAAACTATGGGACTTCTTTTAATAAAAGTTTTCCGAAATTAACATGAACATAACCGCAATTTTCAATTTAAAAATAGTATTAAAATAAACGTGCATTTTGTTGTATTAATGATAAATTGTGTTTAAAATATTAGTTCTCCAGTGGCAGGATCTGCTTGTGGTTGTGAGCGGTGGCAGAGGGCGCTTACTGTTCCGGGGGAAGGGCGGGTGTGTGGGCGGTGCAGCCTCTCCTGCTCCTCCTTTCTTCCTTCGCTTGCAGAGGGGCCTCGGGCGGAGGTCGCCTGCTCGTCCGCCGGTCAGCGGCGCGAGTGGGAGAGAGGAAGATCTCAACGCAGGAGCTGTGGCGTCGCCGCGATCTCTCTGCTCCGTCTGTCTCCTCTCAGCGTCTCCCGGTTACGGCGGAGGGAGGAGGCCAAAAATCACCACGGCCACCTGGAAACCCCCCGGTCTATTGTATGAAGTCTGAGGAATTATTTATGTTCATCATTCAAGGAATAAATAAGAAGTGAACGCGAACAGTAGTGCATTAATTTTGAAGCTAGGGATCAGAATGGTGAACTTACGATTAGATAGCCAACGCTGTTAAATATTGCGCAAACACAATGCCAAAACTGAAAAATTGTCAGTTGAAGTCTCCGTAAACTATCACATCAACGGAAACGAGAAATCTTTAGATTTTAAAATTACATGAAATTTTCTATAATCTCAAAGTGTAGAGCACTTGGCGAAAATGTAAATATTTTTTAACGAAATGAATCATTCTTTTGTGAATAATTATGAAATTACTAAAAATGAACGTATTTTTAAACTTAAAGAATCACTTTTCATAATGTCAAAGTTTTTAATTGCAATAACCATTTATGGTTCATTGAATATTTGTGAAAACATTTATAATAAATCTTATATTTTTGGTGAGGTGACAAATTGTCATATTTGGGATAGTTTTAAGTGATGAAATATGCAAACAATTTTAGAAGAATAAGTGATTTATCACCCAGTAGTTGAATAATTTATGAAGTACCCTCCGATTCGAAAGTAAAGCAATAATCTGGAAGTATCTATCAGATTATATAAATAAATATACATGTACAGCAGCTCACAATCTATTCAGCCCAATATTGATACATAGGCCTAATGGAAGAAGAAATTACTTCTGTAATTTGTTTTGATTGTAACCAATGGAATACAACTTGAGTGTGAAACGTTCTGATTAGTACATAAAATTGTCGGATTTTTTCCAATGTACCTCAGATTTGTTCAGTGAAGGTCCTACATCGAGTGATTTTCTAACCTTCATGCCTGCGCCAAGTAATTTGTTTCCTGCTCGCACAGATGAAGACATTGAAGATTAAACATCTGCATGGACTTCAAATCAAGACTCCTCAAAGGATGTACAGACGTTTGTCTCGAAGCCAGCCAACTCCTAGGACCAATGCTTGGATTAACAGATATAAGTGTAATTTGTCCCTAGTAGATCCAATTTGTTTCGACACTGCAGCTTGTCTCATGGTAAACATAAGCTTCTGACACAATAAAAGGAACTATAAATAGTGATGCACATTCAGTATTTTTAAACTGCAACTGAAGTTCTGTCAAATTAGTAAATTTGGAAGGTGCTACCCATCGATTTATACAATTTTTGCACTGAACTTGTCTAAGGACTCGCAACTTTTTGTGGAAAACTTTCGCCTTTTCCCTTAGCTGCTTTGCGACGGGCAGAGTTTTCGACGGACGTCAGTGCAGCCGCCAGTATGTCATGTTGTCCCTGCTGCGCTACGTCCGTCATTTGAGGTTCGTGTATCACTAGCCTTGTCTTTCCGAGAAAGATGTGTTTGAGACCATTAAGAAGTGGGATAAACAGCTTCTTACGGTATTTGAAAGTATTCAAACGTGGGAACAGTATGTTTTAAAATCAAATAAATTTGAAACTTCATTTGAAGAAGACCCATACTTGAATATTGTACAGCTTGGCCCTTGAAGATCAACTGAAATGATTACATTTGAAAAAACTTCAAGTAATTCAAATCGAATGCCTCAGGGCCGCCCTCTGCGCCCCTAGTGACTTTCCTATTAAAGATTTAAATCGCGATTTATCAATGCTGATTGATCATATCGAAAATATTGTCTAATTGTTTTGAAACGCAGCTTCTTCGGAAACACTCTCATTCCCAAGATTGCCTCATACCAACACGACCAACGGGTGAAGTATAGGCGAACGAAGCATTTCCTGAAGTAAGAGTAATCTGAAACAGTGAAATGAGTCTTGAAACATAAACTTAGTATTTCTGCACACGAAATGCGCTCGCCAGTTGGGTAGAATAGGAATGATTATGGGAATGGTCGCATCGCAGTGGCGTGAACATAACTGCACTAAGAGAGCTCAGCATTGAAGTGGCAACACTGCTTCTCCCCACCTCGCTCAGTTGTTGTTGTTAGACACATGATCGCATGTTATTTACATCATGGATAGACAAATGATATTTTTTGAAGTTATATACTTTGAAGAAAATCGTACAAATGCATAGTTAAAGAAGATTTGTGTGTGAAATATTGCCAGTGATAGAAAACAAATATTTAATAGTAATGGATGAAGTTACATTTTCAGAGGAAAATATATTTAAAATAGATAAGGTGAGTATTTTCTGAAATATCTCTTTTGTGAAAAGTATGCATTCAGCCGAAGATTCCATAAGCATTGGCGATTTTACCTTCAAATGTAATAAGTGGTTTTTAAATTGGTTTTCTGAAGGTGATTTTATCGTGAAAGAATTATATCGTGAACATTGGTGTCAAAGGAAATTTCTTTTCATTGCACTCACCTTGCCTTTAATACTGTAGGTATGAGCATCAGTGTCAAATCCTTGAAATGTACTAAGTGGTTGGCACTGATATGGTGATAACCTTTGCGTTCGTAAGACTTACAGTAGTCTTGAGATCATGAATGATTCTGACTTGATGACAGTCGTGATAATCATTAGAAGAACATCCTTGCTATGTTTTTCAGCCACCATAAGAAACTTTCATTCACCACCGAATTACATTCATACTTCCCAAATTACATAATGCATTAAACGGTCCATATTTAAATGATCTACTACAAATTCACTCTAACTTACCAACACCTTGAAAGTGTGGTGTTAAAAACTGTTGTCACCTGTCACGCATACTAAGAGTGGCCAAAAATAGAAATAATAAATAATTCAGTAGTCATGGTTATATCATTGTCATCTATAGTTTCTCCTAGAGTTGGAAGAGGCTGTATGTGTGGTTTTTATATTTGTAATTGTGGTTTGGGAATAAGTGTATGTGACTGTCATGCTTATTTCTTTTGCATTTACAAGCTCTTATACATAATATTAAATATAATTTGTGAAGAGCTATTTAAATGTTTCATGATATTTACAATGAATTCATGTAAGGTGAATTGATATTACTGCTGCAATGCTTTGAAGGAATTGATCCTGTGAGTGAATAATATAGTTAGTGGTATTAACACCCAAGATTAAACAAGCATAATCGATTGTTTGAACTGTTTTCAATCTATCATGAAACATTCTTTATTATTGCTGGAACTGAGAAACACTACTTTGGAGTTGTGTGGATATTTTAATTTCCATAAATTAAACTGCTAGATTAAATTGTTAGCTTTTATTGGAAGAGAGGAATGTTTTCTAAAAATTGTGTCTCTTTTGTCTCTAAGGTAAAAAGGAACTGATAGATTATAAAGATCAAGCAAGATTGGAATTCAAGGGTGAGTTTTTTTATCCTCTTTGTAATTGGAAATTTATTATCAAGGGTGATACAGGGATTTGAGGAGATAGTGACATAACTTGTAAAAGAGCACAATTATCTTTGCATTTATTGAGACATCTCGATTTTAAAGCACCCCATGAGGTTTTGTATATGAACTGAATTAGTATTAATTCTGAAACTGTATATTGATGTTGTATCTCTCGGGTACTTTTAAAGTTTCTTTAAATGCATTCATTCAGGAATTTTTCAGGAGGTAGGTTTTTTATATACTAATCAGTATCTAATTTTGTAAATTAATTATAAAATAGTAAATAAGAAACGGTTCATACATGTTCTTTACACGATTTCTCTTGTATTACATTGCTTCATTTTGTACACTCGAAGATTTATCTTTGCGAGTGTTATTCCATAATCTAAGTACAAATATTGTGGATATCTAAATGGTGCATAAAATAATGTTTTGAGGATTTTTTTAGAATCATTTTTCTTGGTTATATTCTTTACAAGATAACAAAAAACAAACAAAAAAGAAAAAACTAAAAAAAAAAAACACCAAACTTTTTCTCATGGTTTATAATGGTGTAGAATTATGATTGGGTTTCTAGTGAAAGTGTGAAGTGATTGAGAAAGGTAAAGAGTTGAGATTATACTATATTTCCCCCCTTTTCTTTCTTCTGGAGTGTAAATGGTATCTCACTAGCTTTTTTTATTATTATTATTATTATTATTATTATTATTATTATTATTATTATTATTATTATTATTATTTATTATTTATTTTCAATATATTTTTATTTTGTAATGTTTGAAAGTTACTGGACGTTATTTGTAAGTAAAAGACAATATATTATTTACAAATAGCACAAAAGAAATAGAAATAGCATGCTTCTCAAATCCTAGGTGTATTTCTATTAATTTAGGCTTAGAAGGACAAAATTGATTTTGTAAAAATTTCGCTATCTTTTTCTTCATCAGCATACATTTTATTATTATTTGTGCGTTGGAGCATTTCTGAAGGAGTATTCTGTTCTTGTTTATAGGATGGAGGCGAGCCCTGCTCTTTAATAAGTGAAGTGAAGGAGGAAGATGATGATGTGAGTTGGTGCTATCAATTTCTCTCTATTCTTAGAAATAGTTGAAAATTCATAAAAAAAGAAAAAAAACAGTCATTTCTCATGTGTTGAAATGATTTACATGAATGGATACCAAAAGTTTTAGTTACTGAGATAAATACCTGTTAAGATTTGGAGTATTAATAAAACTTCCGAAGCATGTGTTTTTTGTATGTTGGAACCATGTTGAATTAGAATACTATTTCCCCTTGCAGGAAGGAGACGAGCCCTGCTCCTTAATGTGTGAAGTGAAGGTGGAAGATGAGGTGAGTTTTGAATTTCCTACTATTCTTTCCTCCTAATATCGCCTAATTCCTCTTTAGAAAATATGTTTAAAAGATATATTTTTAATGTTTGTGAGGTACTGAACGTTATTTAAATGCTAGAAGGCTGTATCATATTCAGAAATAGTAAAATATTATCAGACATTTCTCATATTTTAAATGGATCTACATGTATTTAAATGCTCAGAGCCATAGGTTTGGTTTCTGTGATGCTTTTTGGGCTTAGGAGGACAATATTATTCTTGTAAAACCTTGAGATATTTTGTTCTTCATGAACATGGAGTTGGTTGTTATTTGAGCCATTTTGAAATAGCATGGTTCTGTCATTTACAGGAAGGAGGTGAGCCCTGCCCCTTATTGCATGAAGAGAAGGAAGAAGACGAAGAGGTGAGCCGGTTCTATCAGTTTCCCCTAATTCTTCCTTCCTAATCCTAAAACCTTGTTTGATTTTTATTTTTTTCTATTTAGTTTCGTTGATGAGATTTCAGACATTATTTGTAAGCAAAAAGGCTGTATTTTATAGAATCCGTACAAACCACTCAGCGATTCAGATATTTCTCATGTCTTAAATGTAAACACGTATATGCAACTGCTCGTAGCCAAACATTTTAGTTTTTTCATCTATGTCTTTTAGACTTCAAAGAGCAGTCTTTTGACACTGTCAAGACATTTGTTTATTTATCAGCCTAGTGTTTATTTGTGTTATTTGCATATTGTAACCATTCTGAAGTAGTGTACTTTTGTCCTTTACAGGAAGGAAGTGAGCCTTGCTTCTTAACATGTCAAGTGAAGGAGGAAATTGAGGTGAGTTGATGCTACCAATTTTACCTTTTCTTTTTCCCTCCCTAATCCTAAAAGACGTATCTCTCAAGTGTGTGGGTGTTAGATCACATTAAACATGGGTAGTATAACTATCGACAACTATCGATAGTTTTCAAATAATCTATCAAAAAATATTTATAGTACATTGAAACACAGAAAATCAAAAATGTTTTGACTAATTGGTAATAAACCACAATTATATTGTAGTATAATTGTATAATAAAAAGGTTAATTCAAATAACATCTTACTAATTTTTCCAATAAATTCTCAGTCATTAAATGCAAACTTCTTTGCAAACGTGTAAAATTTTGTAATTCTCTTTCAGCATTGCCACCTTGAAAATACATTGGCAAATATCACTATACTACTTTAATAAATTAAACGTTGCCAACTTATTCTAGTGTGAGTAAACGTCTTGCGTAAAGACTATTTGGGTCTTCATTGTAAACAATTGCTGCTCGTTCTCGCTCATTGTAAATGGGAAATGTATCTTTCTTTCTCTTATTAAGAAAATACGAAGTTGAATTACTGTTTGAACCAGTGATCTCTTTATATTTACATTTAATGAGAGATAAATAGAAGATGAATTATGTTGCTGGAGTACTTGCAAATTAAAAATTAACTATCTAAATGGATACATTGTAGTAAAAATTGATTTCAATAGTATCCAACAGTTTCAGAAATATCAATAGTTTTAATAGTATGGCACTATAAAAAACTATCGATAATGCCATAGAGTTTTAATGAGCGCAAGTGTGTCTGCGCAGGAGTGAGCAAACGCTTATTTTTTTCCTTTCTTTCTTTCTCTTGTCTGTTTGTGAGATACTGGAAATAAGTAGTAAGCAAGGAGGGCATATCTTAACATATTTAGAAATAGTATAAAATTTCTTTTAAAAAAATTACACATTTCTTGGGTCTTAGATGGATGCACATTTACTTAAATGCTTGTAGCCAAAAGTTTTAGTTTTCATGAGATATGCCTTTTAGAATTAGGAGGGCAGTATTGACTGGGTGGCGACCACTTTGAAAAACTGGGAAATGTTGGGGAATTTCAATGATCGGGAAAAGTCACTGAATAATTTGAGAATTTTGATAGAAATCAGTGGTTTTCATTTTTCATTATATAAAATTAATTATTCCTTAACTCATTAAAGTAAAAACACATTTAGATGTCTGCTGATTTTTGTAATTTCTTGGAATCTTCCTATCTGAATGGCCTGAGTCTACAGGATTCCATAATGCTGGGCTGCATTTCCATTACAACCCTGATTGATCTTGTAAATATTTCAAGCCATTTGTTTCTTAATCAGCCTAGAGTTTGTGTTATTTGCATACTGGAGCTAGTCTAAATTAGTTTACTGTTCTCTTTCACAGGAAGAAGGCGAGCCCTCCCCGTTAATGTGTGATGTGAAGGTGGAACATGATGAGGTGAGGCATCGATGTCCACTATTCTTCCCTCCTAACCCTGGGGTCCGTGAACCTATTAAAAGATTCATTAAACACAATTGGTCCTATAAGTGTTGCCTTAAGAAAAGAAAGCTCATTGTAGGAACGCTTTTTAAGCTTAATGATTTGTTAAAGTACCGTAAACACGGATAAACACGAACCCAAAGGACAACTTTCAAGTCAATTGTTTCTTATTCAGCATGGAGTTTATTAGTGCTATTTGCACCTTGGAGCCATTCTAAAGTAGTATTCCGTTCACGTTCACAGGAAGGGGGCGAGCCCTGCTCCTTAATAAGTGAAGTGAAGGAGGAAGATGAAGAGGTAAGTGTGTGTTATCGGTTTTTCCTATTCTTTCCTCCTAAGCCTCAAACACTCCTCTCAAGCATTTTTATTTTTTTCTGATTAATAATGTTAATGATTTACCACACATTATTCCTGAGATATAGTGGATGTTTCTCATGTCTTAAATGGATTTAAGCCTACTTAAATGGTGTTAGCGAAAAATTTTAGAATTCTGAGTTATGCCTTTTAGGCTTAGAGGGAGGTATTAATCTTGCAAATTTCTGAGACTTAGTATTTCTTCCTCGGCATGAAAATAAAAATAAAATTATAATTTTCATCATCTTCACCATGAACTGCAGGTTGCTAGACCTGTTTGCATATTCCTGTTTTCCAGTAGACCAGAAGGCTTATACCTCCAGGTGTTCCTGATGTAGCCATTTCTTTTGTGGCCTTCCCATGTTCCTTCACCTTATCGGTGTGTATTTCAACACTACTTTGGGGAATCTTCTTGTTTCATTCTCTTAATATGAGAGAGCCATTTTCTCTGTTCATCCTTTATTTCTTCTATGTTTTTGCCATTTGCCTGTTTTGATATCTTTACTCCTTTGCCTATTCTTTAGTGACACTCCTCAAGTTCACATAGGAATCTCATTTGCTTTGCCTCAAGTATTTGTTGCTCACTGCTTTTCTTTGTCCAGACTTCTGAACCATACATGACAGTTGGTTTAGGTATTGTTATGGATTCTTAGTTAGATCTCCGTGGTCATATCTCTTCCAAAGTGTCTTTTGATTAGTTCATTCATCCTGTTGTATTGCTGAATTTTGTTTTCCATGTCTTCCGAATTCTGTCCAATGAGGTTGTCCAAATAATTGAATTTAAATTATAGTTATGTAAATAAGATATACTATATTTGCATGTATAGACCGCATCTGTGTATAAGCCGCAATAAAGATCTTTGTCACAATAATTTAAAAAAAAGAATCTCATGTGTAAACTGCACTGAATTTGTTGTTACTCAGTAAATATTGTATCAAAAATATGTGTATAATAAAAAAAAAGCAATGTAAATCCTTAATGTGAAATTGGAAGGGGGAGTCTTATGCCAAATTTAATTGGCTGTTTCTGTGCATCCATCAGATTGTGACACTTTGTTACTTCCAACGCTGAGAACAAGTGAGGCAACGTGATGATGCAACATGGTTTCTGAAGCAAGACATCCTGTGCATTATAGTTCCATTTTGTCAGTTCTGTTTTGCTTCTCGCCCGCTCCAAGCTTGCTCGATCTTTTTATTTTATTTTGTTGAAATTTTTATATATAAGCCCTGCTCTAGTTTCACGAGTTACTTTCTGCGAAAAAAAGTGCAGCTTATACACGAGCAAATAATGTAATGTATGACAAATTGGATTGTTGAAGCTTTTTTTTAGGTTAGATCTGAAATGTCAATATACCAAAAATTTCATTTTCACAAAATTCCTCTAGGTTCTCATTACTTTACCTGTGTATATCCCTTAAAATGTAAAATAATTTTCACTTCCGTTATATTTGATCTTTCATTATAACATATTTTTGCCTCGGTCCTTAACTTTTTCTGTACATTAATCTTGCCTTTGGTAGTGAAATATTGTGTTCTATCAGTTGAAGGAAATAAAATTCCAGTGACTTATGTTTTTTTAAGTTGTGTAATACTGGAACATTTCTCACATGTTTAAGTAATTTGTTGTAAGATTATTTCTTGTAGAATATGTGCATATGTAACACATTTATTTATTATTGTTCATTTGTTCACATTGGTTGGGGGGAGGGGATGCTTCACAGGTAACTAGAGATCAATTTGCAACTTGGGTCACAGTTTTTAATATTAATTATAACGTCATGAAGATTCATGACTGTGGAAATAGTGTTTTAAATTTTATAAATTGGTGACCACTGTAAGGTGATCTTTGTTTATTGTCCAAATTATCATTTTCTGTATTGGGAATGTTTGTTGAGACACTGTGCTTCCAAATCCAATCAGACATAATATTGCTGTATGTGATTTTTTTGGTTCATTTTCAGGAGGAACTAAAGCCACCAGTAGGTGTATTTCTTAATCCCAATGAGGAATCCGATGAAGACAGTGAGCAGGAACATGAGGTGAGAATAAAAGCAGCCTATACACTTTGTGTCTATTGAAATATAGACTAGACTAATTGAAGGGTTGTGGGAATAAATGTGATAACCAACATGAGAATGATCTTGGCTGTCCGTGTGACACCACATCAAAGGCTGTGTTGCCATGGCAACATAGCTCAGAAGCAAAAAATTATAAAGTTTGTCAAAAGAAAAATATTCTTAAGCATTGTTCATTATACTATAATATTACAATAGAGGAAACTTTCTGAATGTTTAGCATGAAAGAATGTTAGCAATGAAAAGCATAGAAGAATTTTAGAAGAGTAAAACATGATTATTGGAAGGGGAGAAAAAAAATGTATTGGAAAGTTTGAAGCTGTATTGAGAAAATGTTGTTTGTTCATTTTTGAAAATGTTTGAGCTCACACTTTTTTTGCAGAAAAGTTTTGAGTTTTTAAGAAACTTCAAAGGTGGAAGCATTTGTACTTGCAAATCTAATAATGTATGAAAATAATGCCTATAATGTAAATATTATCCATGTGAGATATTTGAAAAAAATTTCATTTCTGTGATTTTTGAAAAATCAAAAGAATACAACAAAATGGCATTCATGTTGTGTAATTCAGTGTATTTAGCACTATCTGTATCAAAAGTTACAGGGAATTTTTTGAGATATTTTTGAAGAAATGTTCAAGCTTTTCTGAAAATGTGCAATTTTGAAGACATTTTCATGGAAAACATTTTGAGTTTTTGAGAAACTTCATATGAAATCATTTGAAATGTATGAACTAACAAATGCAATAACGAATAAAATATGCTAGAAATTACCATATTTGCCGGTATAAAAGATGCTATTTTTTCTTCAGTAACTCGTCAAAAAACCGGATGCATCTTATAAACGGAGAATTTTTGTAACTGTTTAAATGTTTAGTATATAGCATTACAAAATTCAAATTTCTGTACACTGAAAAACAAGAATTTGTTTTTCTACACAATTGATTATTACAAAAGCTAAAAGTATTGCAAGAAGAAAGAATGCTGAAAATTTCGTTGGGTCAATGTCATTGTGTAGAAGATTTATGAAAAGGCACAGTCTTTCCATGGGTACTTGAAAAATATCATAAATACACCTGGCAGAATATGAAGAAAAGATCTTTGCTTTTCACAGCTCAGAATTCCCATTCCTTTCATAAAAGTAAAAAAGTAGTATAACATTTAACATTAAAGAATTAAATCCTTCTTGAAAATAGAGGTGCATCTTATATCTTATACACCAGCCAATACGGTAAATATGAACAAGAGAAATATTTAAAAACACATTAGTGTAGTTTTTGAAAATTCAAACAAATACATTGAAATGCCAATTATGTACTGCTATTCAGTGCATTTAGCTTCAATGCCTACAAAAAGATTAATGAAATTGGAGCTGTTTGGGAAAAGCTTGTTTTTAAAAATGCCTTAAGCTTATTTAAAGATTTAATTTTAAGGAACTGATTTTATTCAGGTGAAAAAAATCTTTATCTTCAATATTGAAGTTGTAGGAAGATAACAAAAAAAATTTTAATTTTGTAGTTTTCAAAGTTCAGAGAATTTGAAAGTTGATCCTGCACCATTTTTATCTTCTATACTGTGATTTATACAAGTTTGAAGAATCAGATGTTTTATTTGATGAAAGTGTGGGATAGATACCACTTCCCAAGAAATTTCCAAATATTTCAGCATTGTCGTGTACATGAGACTAGTGGTGAATGCAATAATTTAATGTTATTGGAGCAGAATGTCTTGTTTGAGAAAAACATTACCTCAAATCATGAGTAGAAATCATTCAGATTCTCGTACATTAATTTCATGGACAATTAATCAAAAAGTAATCTATTGTTGCAGTTGATTGAATTAGTCGAGGAGGTATTATAGATAGGTAATAACCTACTGATCCGTAATAAGCTGTATTTAAAGTTGTGGGAAAGTAAAATTATTCCAATGTTTTCAACATAAGTGGGCTCTTTTTATTACTGTGTTTTTAAGAATACATGTACTTATATAGTTATTTTCAAAACCTAGTATTGCATGACTCAATCTTCTTATTCACACTTGTTTTTCAGCATAGTCAGTAATCGGTGAGTGGTGAACAAGTGAAATCTAAGAATAATCTGAAAAAGTTCATCATTATATAAATTTTCAAATATAGTTTGTTTGTTTGAAAAAATCTTGTTTACATATTTGTGAAAAATTGTCATGAGTTCACTCAAAATTATACAAAACTAAATGTTGTGGAAAAACTGGAGGGTAGATCACAGGAGATTAGTTTGCATTAATAAAAAATTTCTAGCTTCATTATTGTAGATGTATGACAGGTTCGAAAACAGTTGCTGTTTTCAAAATTTCAGAGGCTTTAATGAAATTGAACCTGTGTCTTTTATAAGCATGTTTTGGTCTATTAAAGTAAAATTCAAAGAAAAAAATTGAAATGGGAATAGAAAAAATAAATTTCAGATGTTGTTAACTGTCCCCTGTTGGTTTGTGTTGTCTTCGGGTTTTTAGAAGATATTAAAGAATTTACTACCTAGTTTGTTTGAATGCATTAACCTTTTGTCCTGTGAAATGTGTTTTTAAGAAACTGCCGCTGGGATTTGATGGCTAGTGGCCACATCTATGTAGTACAGTCGTGTAGTACCTATACTTTCCGTGAATCGATAAACTGTACACTGTTAATGGTTTAATTCTCTTAAACTTGGGTGACTGATGACACTGGAAAACAGTGATGCCATGGCAATGCAAATTAAACTGAAAAAAACAAAAAAGGAAATGACTTCTCTACATTAAAGAAAATCAATGCGACAAATAAGCCTAAACAAATGAAAGGAATGGTTGTTTTTAAATGCCATGCAAAAATTTCAATTATTATGGATTGCCCAAATTATTTTAAAAATTCATTTTAAAGGTTATGGAAAGAGATAAATAAGTGTTGGTTCTTTTAATCAAAAAATCTTTATTTTAGTGATAAACATTCCAGAAAGCTAAATTTCAGGCACTGGAAAACAAGAGAAAACTTGTTTAGGCAGTTGGTGGACGGCCTGATTGAATACTCATTTTCTGTAGGGGGAAAAAAAATCACCGTTAGTGATAATTTACAATTATCATAAGAAGTCCAGAATAGGAGGGGTCAGTAGCAATGGCCATCAGCACTGCGAACACTGCTTTTAGGAGGTGAGGGGGATGTCAACTGGTGGGTAGTATGGGGTGGGATGTCTGGCGAGTGAAGCACCAAGTATTATATGATTGTGTAGAAAGGTCTCCCTGAAACTGAATGTGCAGCACTCTACATGATATTGTGATACCTTGATGCATTATTCGCTAATTTCCCCTTTTTTTTGCAGGACCCATTGGCTGTGTGTAATGATGGTGAAAGTTCGTGGTCTGTGGGTGAGTTTAAAGAAAGAATTACTATTAATTGCCAGTATTTTTGTCATAAACATTTTGAAATATTTTTGTTGATTTATCTAGAATACCTATTATGTGATTGCCCACTCAAAGGCATATGCTGCATGGGGAAGTGTAACATTCACATACTCTTGATACATTCTAACACATGTCTGTATATTTCTCTTTTGATAGATGGAGATAGCGACACAACAGCAAACTTCAAGAGCTCAGAGTTGAAAACGCACTTGCAAGGGAGCAACAACGAAAAATATGAATGCCCCATCTGCCAGAAGAGAGTCTCCCGGACTTACTTTATTACACACATGCGGATGCACAGGGGTGAACGCCCTTATGAATGTTCTGTTTGCCACAGGAGCTTTACTGATAGAAGTAGTTACGTTAAACACACACGTATTCACGGCAAAAGCCCTTATCAATGCTTTGTCTGCCAAAAGAGTTTCTCATCTGGAAGTTATTTAGTTGTACATATGCGAATCCATAGTGGAGAACGCCCTCATAAATGTTCAGTCTGCCAGAAGAGCTTTAGAGATAGAGGTTATTTAGCGACACACATGCGGATCCACAGCGGTGAACGTCCTCATCAATGTTCAATCTGTCAGAAGAGCTTTACTGATAGAAGTAGTTTAGTTAGACACATGCGGATCCACGTTGATAAAAACTCTCATGAATGCCCGGTCTGTGTAAAGAGATTTGCAGATAGAAGTCTTTTAGCCACTCACATGCGGATCCACAATAGCGAACCTTCAGATGAATGTTCCATCTGCAAAAAGACCTTCACAGATGAAACTTCTTTAATTATGCATATGCGGACTCACAATGGTAAAAACAGACTGGAATGTTCCACCTGCCTAAAGACGTTTGCAGGGAGAAGTGCTTTAGTTGTGCACATGCGGATCCACAGTGGCGAACGCCCCCATGTCTGTTCAGTCTGCCAAAAGAGCTTTACAGCTAGAGGTACTTTACTAATGCACCTGCGAACCCACAGCGGTGAACGCCCTCATGAATGCACCGTCTGCCGAAAGAGTTTCACTCAAAGAGGCGCTTTGTTTAGGCACATGAAAATCCACAGATCTGAACTCGTAACTGCTGTCAGCTAGAGGTACTTCAGTGAAGTGCACGTGGATCTACAATGTTGAGCGCCATCATGAATGCTCTCCGTCAAAAGCAGCAGTCATTCAGAGCAGTAGTTAAGCTAAGCGCATGCGGGCCCATGGCTGTGAATGACATCAGTTGTTTGGCTTCCCTAAAAGACTCGCAAATAAAAGTTTCTTAAGCTACACTCACATGGTGCATGTTGCTACACTTCCCTGTGCCTTCTTGCCACTCTCTAGCTGAAATGGTATGTGGAAGACTACCTATGTTTAGCATCTGCCAGAAGAACAAAATGTTAATAATTTTCCATTTTGTTTAGCTTCCCTTCAAACTCTGAATTATATTGTAAATGGACAATTTGCCTGTCAGTTATTGAAACAAACATTGTGTGTATTCAGCATGCGAGTTGATAAGACTCTTTCTACCTTAGTAGTCTGCACATCACGGTTTTAAACAGGTGTACCTTTGTGTGTCACCGAGTTTCAATTTTCTGCAGCGTAGCCAGTGATTTTCAATAACATCAGTTGATAATGTCACACAGTGTCTTCAGCGTTCAGCTTTGTGGTGGCACACACGTGTTGAGTGCAGTGGTGTCTGTAACTGATTTTTCCTTGTCAACCATGTTATAGTAGTACTTGAGGAGTGAAAAAGGATTTTACTGCAAGGGTTACCACACTGCATCTAACGCTGTTTGTGGTACAACGTGGACTAAAGAAATGTTGGTAAATGTCATAGAAGAATTTAATAAATAAGATATTTGCTAACTGAAAAAATATTAGAATAAAAAATGACTGAAACGATATAGCTTATTGCATGATACCAGTTTTATGTTTTTTTTACATCAATGTATGTTTTTCCGTAGGCCTATGAAAGCACTTGAAACCGCAAAGGGAGCACTTTCTGCCTCCAGGAATGGGAAATGCTGGAGGAAGTCCCTCAAATCCAATCTTTGTTGTTGCAACTGAAGTTGTAGCAGGGGCAATGTGACAGGGAAAATCAAGTGAATCATTAGAAATGGCATAACAGTGCCTTTACATTTCAGGTATTACTTTTTATTCCTCTGTTACTTTATCTTTAGAGATAAATGTATCTTTCAGTGTACTTTGTAGAATTTGTGGATTTTAATTATTTTTATTTCTTTTCAGGATGGTCCTGCAGAGCCTTTATCCATTCTTATAGATTATAATTATATGAATATTAATAGTAATTAATGTTTGGGTTGTGAGGTTAATGAGGGGGTTGTGATTAATGTTTTGAAATCAAAAGACACTCCTAGTTCTTCTGCCACAACTTCTGCTCATGTAACTCAAGAGACTTTTGCTCCTGAAACAACAACAGAAGTATAATATGGAAGAAAATAATTTATTGCTGATATGAATGAAATAATCATGTTCTGAAATATTGTAACTGCCTGCAGTGCCAACAATAATAAATGGATTTGCCTTCATTTTATAGTGTTCTGTATGCCCATTTTATAAAATTATTGTTGAAAGTTATTGATAAATCTTAAGTTACTTACTTTAATTTTGTGTTTTTGGGAAAACAAATTCTGAAGAGGAGTTATTGAAAATGGCAAACAGTGATCATTGAACAAAAATAAAAGAGCATTTTCTAAAAATGAAAATAGATCAGATAAAGAAAAAATCCTGCATGATATGATTTTACGAAACTGAAACATTTATAGCGTTAAAAATAATTCAAAAAATAATTTATATTTTTATGTTTATGTATTAATAATTTTGAAAAATGGGCTTGAATTAACTGAAATCTGCTGATCGATCTGAGTCTTAAAACATTATCTGTTTCATTTTCCACCTCTTCTTCTCTTTCTGTCGTGTTATTTAGCTAACCAGAAGAAACCATGGCCAGTTTCATCCTTCACTGTAGCGCTGATCATCCATTTCCAGATAGGATTGCAAGAGATGCCTTGCCCAGTATGGTACAGGTAGAGGAAAGGTCAAGAGCTGTTGTATAGATCTTGAAGTGATTTATGAAGTGAACTTAGACAAGCCAAAACATTTTAATATCAAATAGTTCCAGAAGTAAAAAAAAAAACAAGAGGCAGGAGAGGTGGGGAAGGGCTAGGTCCCTAGGACAACTCTTCCGAAAATGAGCAAGTACCATAAATCATCATTAGAGAGTGGTTTTTATTTTTTAACCAGCCCAGTAGTGGAAAAATATGAAAGGGGAAAAAAAAGTTACAACAATTTGTGTTTTGAAAGAAACTTTTGTGACTTTTTGAGCATGTTCAAGAGTTCTAAGACAGTAAAAATTATTTTTTATTTTTGTAAAATATTTTTTTTTTGTTTGAATTTGCTCTGAAAAAATATCCAAAATGTTTTTCTGATAGTATAAATTATTTTCTTATTTTTTTCAATCTGGTAAGTTATGTTAAGTTGATGAAAAAAAATAAAAAAATAGGTGTTTTGGCTGCAGAAGGGTGTGGATGGTGCGAGAGGGATAAGAAATCCTTCAAAAATCTTATTTTTATGTTAAATTTATAGTGTAACTACTCATGTCATTTGATTTTAGGGTACTTTTTACTGTCTTATCCAGGGCACCCTTTCACTTCTACTTTCCAGACTTTGGGTAATTTAATTATATCATTTTTCAAATGATCATAGAGATTCCAAACTGTCTTCGAAATGTCCACCAAGTAAATTCTGCTCCATTTGTAAATCCAAACCAGGTCTCTATATTTTGATACCGTGATAGTTGATAGTATTTTGGTATGAGGTGCTACAAAGGAATGAAAAACAGTCAAAATTTTCCATTTCCTTTTCCAAGTTACAGGCTTCATTTGCATAATATATTTGTCTAGAAAATGCTACTTTTGTTAAAGCTTATAAAATATTAAAATATCCTAATCTTTTAGTTATTAAGGAATGTTCCATGATGGCTAGGGGACATTTTTTAAATGAAATGTAATTTTTTTTTTCTTTTCACCGACTTTACAATAATGTTTAGTATAGAAATTCATTTGAAGTTCTGACGAAACGTTGTACCCTCATTAGATGACTAGTGCTAGGCGATATGCTCACGAGCCGCTCAATTGACCGTTTCTTCTCATGAACCGTGGTGCTTCACTCTTTCGCTGCTCATGTACGCCCTCATGACAACTAACAACTCAATGGTCATGTGGTGACTCAGAGCGAGATCGCTCGCCTTTCACCAAATATCGATTCCCGACGAATCCAGAACAATCTCGTGTGATATTTGTTTCAACAAAATCAATTTAGCTGCTTCACAAGGGCTAGTCCATGTGAAATACCCTAAATTCTACCCCAATCCTAATTCTGGCAGCTGAGTAGTGACGCAGGAGCGCGTATGCGGAGATAATACTTGGCGGTCCTCTTGACAACTGACTGCGACGAGACGTGACGGATATGACATTTTGAAATATGGGAGAAGCGCTTCGGTAGCTAATGAGCACAATCGCAGGCATCAGCGACATAACATGATTAATGGGAGAACATTCGAAAGCATTTTCGACCACCGGCCATGAAGTTCATGTGTCAACTCATCATTCAGTTCGTTTTACCCGCTCATTTTTGCATATTTTTTCTTCATTTTTCTGTACAGAAAGTGGATGGAAAAAGGATGTTCGTATGTTTCGGTACCGAAAGTGAATGAACGTGATTCCGATGTTTTATAATACAAGGTCATTTCTGCTCTGTACGTGATCGTGATGAAAATACTTCCTCCAGACGCCGCAAAACGCGCTGGAAGTTAAACAGTTGAATATCGCACGTACGTAAACAATTGCAATACGCGGGAATAATGATCAGATGGTTACGTATTCGCAGTGTAGGTGGTTATTAGTCGTGTGAAGTATTGTGGTTTTTGAGTTTGAAATGGAAAGAAAAGCAATGATCGCTGTACTTGGGTGAAATCATGGTTGCAGGAAAGGGAGACTGGTGTGAGTCTGCTACACATGGTAGACAACGAATTGCGCTTCCCACACCGAATTGCGAAGACCCACACTATTATCGTCAGTTCATGAGAATGAGTGAAGAAAATTTTGACGAGCTCCTGGGATTGGTAATGCCAGATATTAAGAAGGACACCTGTATGCGAGCTGCAATTTCCCCACGAGAAAGATATGGTACACTACATAAGTATACTTTTCGTGTGCATACAAGTACATGCATAAATCTTCTAGTTTCTATTATTATTGTTATTGTTATTATTTTTTTGCCTATGAGGGGGAAATGCATTACGCATAACGTCTGGGCATTGAGATGTCACACGTATTTTAAACAGTTTCGCTCGTTTCCCGTACTACCTCTTCGAGGGACTCTGCACTTTTCCTTTTGCTCCACCCCATGGACTCCAGTAATTTAGCTTCGTCAAGGAATTTTATGGCATCAGCTTCTTTTCGCTTTTTGGTGTTCCATGAAGGATCGATGTTTGGCTGATTCCTTCTAGCTCGGTTTCCAGCGGATGAAGTGGAGAATTCGATGTAGCGGTGATTGCTAAGTATTTCAGCGTTGAGAACCTGCCAATCCAAGACATTCTTGGCAATCCTTGTGGTTCCTATTGTTAAGTCTATTATCGAAGAAGCTGCGCCCCTTTGAAATGTACATGAGCTCTCTGTGTTTAGGACTACCAGGTCCTTCCTAGCCAGGAATTCGCAAACAATATCACCTCTACGACCAGTTCTGCTTTCGTCCCATTCCGGGGACTTGCTGTTAAAAGTCTCCAGCTAATATTATATATCCATTTTATTCTGGTACAATCAGTAAAATTGTACCAGAAGTATGTAGAGCCATTTATGTACATTTGCGACCTTTGTATCTGAAAGTAAGTTAATAAAGCACAAGCATCAAGCACATTTTTAATTGTAATGGATATAAAACTATTTTTCTTGTAGTATCCTCACTCAATCGGAGTGGTTGAAAATATCACAAAAGTTTGAAGAGCTCTGTGACTATCCGATGTGCATCGGTGCTATTGATGGCAAGCACATTGTCTTTAGAGCACCAAGATCTGCGGGATCTTACTATTTTAACCCCAAGGGAGCGCATTCCATTGTTCTCCTGGCAGTAGTGGAAGCAGAATATATTTTTTTGTACGTGAATATAGGAGTGAACGGCCGAGTGAGTGATGGAGTCTGGAGGCACACTTCGTTTTACAAAAATATGGAGAAACTACAAATCTCCCCATGTGGTACATTGTGTACCGGTGTTAATGTGTCATACCATTTTGTCACTGATGATGCGTTTGCACCATCTGAGCGTTGAATGAAACCATTTCCTGCGAGAAACTTGGCAGCTGACAAAATTAATTTTAACTACCGTTTATCCAGAGCCAGGAGAGTGGCAGAGAATGCCTGTGGCCAACAGATTCCGAGTGCTGTTATCACCTATAAATTTGGATGCCCAGAAAATTGATGATTTGGTACTGGCAACAGTCGCCCTTCACAATTTTTGGCATGCAAAAACAAATTGAACTACACGGATACATCAGGTGCAAATGAGAGGTATTTGGAGTACATAATTACTTAGGAATATATTGCTTGAAAACAATGGTTTCTTTCTGTTGCAGGTGGCCACTTTCTATCAGTTGAATCTGTAGCAACTGATCCTGGGCAGAGAAGTACAGTGGCAGCACAGAGGATGAGAGATGAATTAACCCAATATTGTATACAAAATGTTAAAAAAAGTTAATAAAATATTTTATTGGTTACTTTTTTAATATATTGTAAAAAAAGTGTTTCATATTGAGCTTCAACACACTCGTCTGGGAGCTCACATTACCTGCTTCCAAATATAATTGTAGTTGTCATTGACAAGTTGATCCTGGTCAGAGAAGAACAGAGGTCGCATAGAGCATATTTCAGACAAAATTAAAAGTTCACATACTTTATTGTTCACTTTCTATTTTTTATAATGTCATAGAGAATATTTTCTATCGCGTGTCGAGCTCGAAAAAGATCCTCATTCGTTAGCTCACGAAATCTTGTTGCCAGATACCTACAATAAGTCATTGCATAGATATCTACTTTAGTCTCTGCAATGCAGATGTTGCGTTCTGCAAGCCATAATCACAGCATCATCTTCATCTCTTCTCTTATTCTTCTTCCGCAACCCAAGAATTGCGGTGTCTCAACAACACTGTTGCTGCACCCCGCCTGCGATGCAACACTGTTGCTGCACCATGGCTTCGATGCAGCACTGTTGCTGCACCCCGACTCCACATTCATTGTGGCAAGTGAGAAAAAATTATCTCCAAGATCCACATCGAATGAACCAATCACCAGAGTATCAGTTTTACCATTTTCTTCAATTTCTAACGTAGACTAACTTTGAACGAGGTACATTCGTATTTCGGTTAAAATTTAGTATATGGTACACCCTTAGAGAAGCAGGGGGGGGGGGCTTAAGCCCTAATTACTGTACGCGCTCTAATAGAAATGAATAAAACTTACAGATAGGCGATTTTCATGGTTCGCCCTTCATATGCTTTGTGCCCGCCGCATTGTAACACCTATTTACTTTCAAAGGCAAGTTTTCTCGCTTCGCTAGCCCGGATCCAAGTCACGGCGAGGCTCGGGCCTTCGCGTTTTACTATAAACATCCTCGAGTCTATCCAACGCATAATTACCTATTCACTTTTATAAGACATCTCTTTTCAAGAAAGCCTACAGAATTCTAACTGCCTAGTTAACGCCGGAACGGCGCGAAGTGCCGGTTTGAACGACTCCTTAGGTTGTACCGTATACTACATTTCAGCCCGTATTTCATGTAA